TGTAAGGTAAGCAGCCATTCTTCAAAGAGTTGTTTCTGTGGAAGCATTTATCATCTCTTTTCTGTTCCTTGACTGATAATAACTTAAAATGTCATCTCTGTTCCCTGGAAAAGCTAGGTGCTTTCATAAGGTCTCTGATCTCCAGGAAACAAGCAGTGACACTGCCAGCAGAGCAAGTCTCCATTCACCTCACATATCTGTCACCTGCCACTGCGCTTTAAAATTTGATCAGTTATGAACTAAATATATTAATTAATGCTTTGTTGGTGCTGCACTTTCAACAGTGACTGAGATCAGATATTTCAAAGGAACCGTGAACACAGCTCACATGCCCTTAGGAACATAAATATTAATCCTTGACTTATTTATTTCTTGTTCTGAAATATTCATAGTTGTTTTTACCACTTTCCAAAAGTGGAACAAACTTTCCAGTGAAGCAGTAACCCAGCCGTATCCCAGCTACACTCTCTCTGAACATTGTGCTCACTGTGTATATACACTTCTATATTTATAAGTGCTTTATTATTTTTGCTAATGCACATTCCTTTTTTTGCACATTTTTCTTTTTTTGTTCTCTGTCTTATCTTGTTTGCTTGTCTACTTGTTGCCTTATGGATAAACATTGTACCTGTACACCAAGAGCCACTGGACCAGAGTCAAATTCCTCATGTGCCTAACATACCTGGCCAGTAACACTGATTCTGAGATTATTTCCAATTTTGCTTGATGAACATCTGTCCTGTTCTGCGACTCATCCCAGCCAGCCCACTTCCTCGTAACTCGGTGTTCTTCTCGTGTTCTATTAATCAGGCTTGCATCATGACCTTTTGAAATGGTGCTGTGCCACTGAGGGTGGGGGGGGGTATCACATTACATTACTGCATTTAATGCAGAGGGACCCACATGGTGCCACACAGTCATTTTGTTTCTCACCTTTCTTTTGGCTCAACTTGTCTTCTCAGATGGTTTTTGTTGTCTCTATGGCTTTAAAGTTATAAAAAGGCTTTAATCACTTGACTCACATAGAATCATGTCTTTAGACCATGTCAGCAGTTTTGATGAATGCAGCTCAAGTAAGGAAAACCTACAGTAGTGGCTTAAGAATTAACATTTTTCAGACAAAATCATGCTTATTTAAATACACGATAATTGTGTCCTCAATTCCTCTGAATGACTGAGATGAAGAAATAATGGCTTTGTTTTGCAACTTTGAAATCTCCACAAAAATGTTCAGGCATACATACACCAAACAGCAAAGACTCAAAGGATCCATTTGCAGTGAAAATGGGTCAGTGGCTGCATTAGGGGCTTTCAAAAACACAAGAAGTTCCATCTGAGACAGGAAATCGAGCCATCACCCTCAGTGCATCACATTCGCTGTTTAAATTCCTCATTGTTTTCCTCCGATGCGAACTGAACCAGCACGCCAAGCGTGTTTGGCAGAAAAACAAAACCAAGACTTTTCACAGTATCACTTCAGAACCACTTCAAAGACTGCAGTGGTGATTTAATGTGCAAAGACACAGGAGTTAGATAAAATAGAATAAAAAAAGCTCAAAGTCAGCTCACACATTTCCTCATTTATACCAAAGTCTGAGTTGCTGGAGGTGAAGTGTGGTGCTAACGTCGAAATGAGAGGTTTCTAAATGAAGCAGAGCTGTAATTAGCACTAATAGCTCGTCAGCTGCATCGCCTCAAGGGGAAAGACATCCAGACTGAGTAGCAGAAAACAGTCAGCTTTAGTTAGAACACATTTCTAATGATTCGGTAGGGACCCAAAGAGGACGGGTTATTCATTACATCTAAATGCTATTTAGATGATCAAAAGATGTTTGAACGATTGATCAGAGGTTGTTTTGGTTGTATTAACACTTATGGCCCTAGGATACGCACACCGTGCCCCACCAGTCCTGTTTTTAATCCTAATGTGAAAGTGATTATGCTTTGTGTATGCTAATGACAAAATGTGGCACCAGCCAAGAGAAGATAGTTTAAAGTGAAGCTTTGCACACCACTTGTAGTGTCACATATCTGTTGCTCTCACATGTTCAAAGATCATAAACCATTGCTTTAAGGCATCTTGACACATGGATATTAAAATGGAAGTGAGAAGAAACTGAAAAATGTAACTTCACTGTAGTGAGGTGTCAGTCAGCGGCACACTGCACGAGTTTGTTTACCACAAATATGCCAGTGGATGACAAAGGCATAAAAAACTACCTATGGAGAGTGATACGTCATACAGTGTGCAGATATGTTAGTGCAGATGGGGAATTGTTGTTTTTCATTGCTTTAACTCATTGTAACCTAATGAATTTTGACATTTGGGGAAATATGCCTGTTTGTATTCTTGCCAAGAGTGCTAATGCTACAGTCACCAGTCTCTTGGCTTAGCAGCTGAAGTCCAAAGACTGGAAGCAATAGGGAAATATATAGCTTGGCTTTGTTCCAACCTGAAATAATTCAGCTACCAGCACCTGCAAACTCCCTAATTAACACCTTATATCTCATGTATCTCATCAGTGTAAATACCACAATGTAAAAATAAGGAGTTGTGGTTTCACTGACAGTCATGTGCTTGATACTTCTTAGATGTTTCTCACGTTTTTTTTTTAACTAAACATTATACTTGGTGTACCATAAATGCCCTCTGACTCTACACTGATCAACATTATAACCACTCCCTCCTTTACCCATTTCTCATTTCCCAGCTTGTGCATACTGAGGGACCTGCCGCTGACTGTCCAGTCCTGTGTCCTTCCCAAGGACTCCCAGGTTACTGAGTGGGGTGAGTGGGGCCCTTGCTCCAAAACCTGCGTGGACCCTGAATCTCCCAAAGGAAACCGCATTCGGACCCGAGAGGTGCTCCAGCTCCCAGTGAATGAGGGGGTAGAGTGCCCTCCACTGGAGGAATCAGAGTCCTGTGAACCTCAGGGCAATGGTGTGCCGTCCTGCGCCACGTGAGTTTCTTCCTCATAACAGGTGGGGGGGAGACAGGGGACACAACAGAGTGCGAGCAGAGGCTTTTTGAATTTGAACGAAAGTGTCCATGTGGATTTCATACCAGGCGTTCATGTTTCACAGGGATACAGCTGCATGTTAGGTTGTGATAATAGCCTCCTATTGGTTATAGCTTTGCTAAGACCCTGCCACAGTATGAAACACACTGCAGGGATTCATTTTGCATTCAGCTTTGGCAAATATACACTAAAATCAAACTGTTTGGTTTTCAATCCAACACTGTTCCTGTTGACTTTCTTTTACTCATATCACCAAGTTCATTTTCTCTCCTGGGTGGCCCACAGGTGAGTATATGTGTATGTGTGTGTGTGTAGGAGACAGCATATGGAGGTAGATTAGTATAAGTGCTTGGGCTGATGCCAGACACAAAGTAGAGGCAAATGGAGGAAAAATGCAAAGGATCTTTGAGTTCCACAAACTCTCACACACACATACAGTCCCCGGCACAGACTCATAGATGGCTTTTATTCTTTCACTTTCATCCCAGACCATCTTCACACAGCCAAAATACTTTATCCTGCTCTAATCCTGAAGAGCGTTTGATTCTTTTCAGAACGGTCGCATGTGGCCCATGAAACATTTAATTTTATTTTTGAAATCATCATCATTACCACCAAAAACGAACTCTTCTGACCATCATTTTAGATACATTTTTAGAGTTTCCTTTTATAGTTGTAGGTGTCCACTTACACTTCTTATTGTCCAGACACTGTGACATTACTATCAGTTGTAGTAAATAATAGGACAGGTACACTAAAGACCTCTAGACTGTGATTATATTTCAGGTATTGACCACTGTCATAAGAGGTCTACTAGGTAAAAATAAATGGTGATTAAATAATGGTGTAGAATTGGAATTAGGCAGATTTGCACTCTTCACGTCCCTAAAAGTACTGCATACTGTATATACTCTATTACAGCCAACTGAAAAGTGCATTTCATAATGTCAGAAAAACAGAAGCACCTAGTTGGTTGTAACTGTGCATCTTCATATGCTAAAGTTATAAATATCAGGAGCTGTAAATGGGCCAGTCAGAATTAAGGACTGCACAAAGCTGCTCTCGGACTATAGTGCCTTCATTTTCAAATGAAATCACTCTCATATGCTACTGAAATTACTCACAAATGCTCTACTGAGCTCTCACATTATTCTACAAATTAGATCACATACAACTAAAACCATATAATGGTATGTGTGAGCATTTTCAGTAGCACATGAGAGGAATTTCAGTAGCATGTGAAAGTATTTCATGTTTATCTGAGAGCAGTTCACATGTGTATGCGAGAAACAAATATATGATTAATGGCCCACATGGCTTCTGATATTATTGTGCTGTACTGTGACACTGCATTGCACCCACACAGAACTCGCTCTCTCACTCTTCATGCATCATCCCTGCTCTAGTTACACCTGGAGAACCACGGAGTGGAGCGACTGCCGAGTTGACTTGTTGCTAAGCCAACAGGACCGTCGACGTAGCAACCTGACAGGGCTTTGTGGAGGAGGCCTGCAGACCAGAGAAGTTTACTGCATCCAGGCTAATGCTGAGCTTCTGAAGCACCTCGACGACCTGAGAGAAAAAGACAAAGGTAAAGAAAAAAGTATAAATTATACCTAATTGTTTTATAGAAAGAAAGCTCTGAAGATGTCACTGTTATTTATCTGCAGTTAGCTCTGAACATAACTGCTTCAAAACCTTTGGACCAAACAGTCACCATACATATACTGTATAGTCTCAGATAAACCTGATACACACATAATAAGATTAGAGCCTCAAACATTCATGTTAAAATCTGGCTTTTCTTCTAACATTCCCTTCTTCATGTCCACCTTTTGCTCACATTATTTACACAAACCTGATAGTGTTTCTGTCTGTCAGTCTGTGCTAATTATCAGTGGAACAGATTACATTGCAGATAGCTTTAGGTTGCTGGCAGCGTAGGTGCTGACTGTTATGAGTCAGTTCAAACCCAAAGTGTGTCTGTGAAGTGTTGTTGGGACAACTCAGCCTCTGACTCAGAATTTGCCAGAAACTCCAGTTCTCTCTGTTATGTTCCTCCAGATCCCTGTACTTTTTTCTAATTTCTGTACAATATGTGCATGAATTGGAGTCATAAAATGAGCATATAACTCCTGCTCAAGGTGAAAGAACTTCATCTTAGTTCATATCCTGCACAGCACATTTGCATCAATTCACTCATACTCACTTCTTTGTATTGGCTTATTATGTGATTGCACCACTTATAATATTTGCAAGAGTTCAGTCAAAGCGTCCATTTAGAGGTATCATTAGTCTGCGCCACATGCACAGTGTTAAAGCCCCTGAGATTGTGGCTGGAGACCTTTAGCACTTCTCTATATTGCTCCTGGTAAGAAGCAGTATGCTTTCAGGGCCCTTAATAGAGGTCTATGACCTTAAGACTTGGATTTTACAATAATATGGTATTTCAGTCAAAATACTGTATTGTCACATATAGTATTATTTATGTTAATGGAGAAAGTAATATGCAGATCAGCTGCTTGTTGCTACGCTGTCCATTATCAAGATTTTCCACACGATTTTGAATGGGTCTTGAGGCTAGTCAAACTTCTGCCAAATCTAAAAAATATATTTTTTGAAGGTCACAGCTTCAGACTTGTTAATCAGAATCAGTGGATGCTCACAACCTACAAAATCAGCATGCAATAAAAGCAGTGTTACTAATGGCACCCATCTGCAACACCGTCTGCCAGGTTTTCCAGGTGTCCAGACTCTCGCCTTTTTGTCACTTTCATATACATCCCCACTGTCCTCTGCAATTTTTAGAGTTTGTTAAAAAAATCAGGTTCTGTTAATTAAACATTTCATTGTACTGGCCTTCTTTCCATTCTATAAATGCCACAGTTGCACACATACGGCATCACACAGCATAGCCAGAAACAAGTCAATTGAATTCTCAAGTGTAACTCAAATAAATTTGATGAAGCATCATTACATGACAGCTTACATGCTCCAGTTCCCCCACAGTGTAGAAGAAATGCAGTCCCTTGGTGAACTGGTAGCAGGTAATTGCATGTCAGACACTTAAAAACAACTGACTCAATTCATGTCCAATTATATAATGACATATAATATTACATGTGAATTAACAGTCACTGTAGTATTTTTTAATCTTCAAATATCCCACTGTGGCTACACCGTCAGCTTCAAGTTTGTGTTTGAACATCTAAACCGCCTTGTACCTGCTGCCCTTTTCTCCTTCTAAACTAAATCAGGAGTTGTTCAGAACAGGGATTTGTCCTGCTGTGACTTGTCAGTGGACAAAAATGCAAAGACCTCAAGTTCTGACACTTGTCAGGCCACCTTAGAGTCAGAGCTGCCATCTAAAAGACATTAGTAGAGACTAAGCTTATGGAGGCGTGCGAGAGTGACGAGGTCTGTGCCAAATGTGGAGGGATGCTTCTTTCACTCAAAATGAAACAACTACACATTTTTTTGCTTCTGGGAGTGTTTATTGTAATTTGTGAATGTGTGGAGAAACCAGTTGTAGGTAGGAGCCTGATACTCTGATTAATTTCTAAATGATCTTTCACTTCATTATTCAGTCTGGCATTCTCTTCATGTTAGCAGTTTTCTGTTTAGAAGGACAGAAGTTTTAGCTGTGACCACTGACTAGTAATTACAGAATTAATGTTATTTATATAGAGCCTTTCAAAAACTAATAAGACAAGTAATAAAAAAGCAAATTGACATAAAATGATATTCCGAATATTTATATCTGGTTACTCGTAATCTATAGACCTTGTGCGCTTAACAATACTGCACAATGCATCGTGTGTACCAAAATGTTTTTCCTGAACCCCCCACCCCCCAATTAACATCTGATCTTTGTAAATTCCCTAGTTGTTATAGCATACTGTAGGTGTTCACTAAATAAAAATTGGTAATGCTTTATTTTACAGGTTCACTAGTTCCTAATAATTTCTTGAAGGTTTCCTGCAAAGAACTATGCAGTTTGGTACTAATTCCAGCCAGAGACAAAATTCTACGATTAAGATTTTTTCATAGTCAGCCCACTGAGTTGTTTTGAGTTTATTATTGGCTTCCAGATGAATTTCCATGGAAGAAATTGCTCAGTGTAAATATTTACTCTTTATTTATTAATTATTTGAAATGGTACTCTTCATTCAGGTTGAACTGAATGGTTGTCTGTGTCAAATTTAACATTTTGCATTTGTAGCTAACCTTCTGTTCTCTGAATAAAAGTATTCTAGTATTTAGAAACAATTGCAAGTGTACCTAATGATTGCTGATCATTTGGCCTGTAATTAGTACCAAATTATATGGTTCCATCCATGAAGCTTCTTAGAAAATTATTTAGAAATAAACTTGAATTTACAGACCTGTAGCGTAAAGGGCACCAACTGACCTAGGTATCATGAGCTTGCTCATTTATCATCCATTTACTATCAGAGGTAATACAGTATATAATATGGTTGACACCTCTGACCTGACAGTTGATGCAGTGCTCTTTAATAATGATATAAAATGTTGTAAAACCTCACAAAAATAGCACCATATGCATCAAATGATAAAATTACATACAAATAATGTTACAATAAATGACACAATACTGTCACCTAGGTTAGCATAATCAGTTATTACCCATATATTCTAAATGTAGGAATGCTACCAGCTCTGAAAAACATATTTTTTCTATAGAAATGCCCACATTTACAAAATATTGTGTGGTAAGTGCATTACCATGCTTGTCCTGCTAAAACCATCCGATTAGACAGCACAGATGTTTTGTTGCAGCTGGCTTAGATCTGTCTTATGTTTTAATGCAACCTGATTGAGTTAATCACTAGTTTGAAATTAGCTGGTAGATGCTACAAATGTAAGAATGACTTTACACAAAATCGGAGTAATGGATTTACAAATAACCGAAAGAACCCAGTCCAAGCTTTTCTGAGCTGCCTGTGAGCTAAATCAGTATTGGGTTGTGTCATTCAATGACGGACAGCACCAGAATGGACATTTATTAGCATGAATATGTTGAAGATTGTTATGCTTTATACTGTAATATTTCTGAAACTGTTCTAATATTAATCTGAAAACTATGTGATGTTGAATAATTTAATGATTTAAATGAAGGAAAAGCTGGCAGGACATTTGCTGAGCTGTATAATTGTTGGTCGGCAGTCTATTGGTTCTCTGTGTATCAGGCCTAATGAAAGAATAATGAGTCTAGTAGCCAAGATTAAATCCATTGACAGACACTATATTGTATAATGTATACCTTATGAGACTGTATGTCCTTCCTCTGTCTGTCTCCTTGTTTTCCCCTTTCAGCTGAAATGAGGAATGGGCTATAGGGAAATGAGAGGATACAGTACATGTGCCTGCAAAGAACCTGGAGTAATCATACACACTGGGGCACCTACAACAACACCCTGATATGATAGCTAAAGATTCATATATGCAGCCATGTGGAGGGTGATGTTCCCTGGGTTGGCTGTGCAGAAATGTGCGTGACATGTGTGTGTGAGAGACTGTACGATCACACACATACACATCAGTTCTTATCTTTCTGGTGCAGGATTTCTTTTCCCTCCATTGGGGGCTAAACTTCCAGCATACCACTGAGAGAGGCAGACAGTGGCTCAGTGAAGTTTGCTGCAGCCAGCACTCTCGTTCTCTCCTGTCTCATCCATAAATATCACCATGCAAAAGGGCGGAAGATACCCTCAGGCCAAGCTCTGGAACCAGCTTACATCCTCTTAAATCTTAACCTTAATCTTTAAGGGGGAGTAGTTCTGATTTGACCCTAGATCAGAAACGTCATCCAGCATTTCCTCAGCTAAGACTGTGTTCCTTTGGGGTTGGGTGTGCTCAGCTGCAGGAATATATGGATTCCTAATGCAATACTTCCAGCCTTGTGGGAGTTGACACCTTTGTCACCTTTCTCAGTATCTGACAAGAAGATTGAAGTTAAAGTCCCTTTAAGGTGCATTAACACTGTGTGTATAAGGAGAGGTCTATTCATATTCTTATGTTAACACCGCATATGCGAGTTAGAACAATGGCCTTCGAACTCAGCTGGCACCAAAATCACAGAGGTGCCTGAAAATGTGTCTGATTGGAGAAAGAGAAGATATGAAAGGAGTAGTTCTACAGTTTGAGAAATAAGCTAATTCACTTTCTTTTCAAGAGTGAGACTTTTTTGTGACAAAGACAGCAGTCTGAGACCCAAGGTGATTAAGGCACACTTACCTGCTAATATAATTCATCCTAAAAAAATGTTTTAAAACGACTTCAGGATGCCATGCACATTCACTACACCTGACTGTTGCTTATTAAGAAAGAGTTTGACCTCACAAACGCCCCCTTGTTACCCACATTTTTGGCCCTTGCTTCAAAATAGCTGGTAATTACCATGATAATACTTTATTATTACACTTTTATTATCAGTATATTACCCTCATTACCTTGTTACTACTGAGCTGGAATGTAAAGTGCTACTGAATTTTCATTAAAACTGAGGGTCTTAAGACGGCTAGATTTAAGACTAGAACAATTATAACATCTTTCCAGACCTTTAGTATG